TCTCTCTCTCTCTCTCTCTCTCTCTCTCTCTCTCTCTTAGTCTGCTGATGCAGTGAAGTCAGATAGCGAGAGGGTGAGAAGGAGATGGTGGACTGAGAAGAGGAAGAAGAAGAACTCTCTCTCCCATGTGCCAGGTACTAACCTGTGAATATGGCGCTGTGCTGCAGGTACCTCGAAGACGAAGCTGGAGCGATGGCGCTGCAGGTAAGTCCCTCTGGCCTCCGCCCAATCTCTCTCTCTCTAGTACTACTCTAGCTGCTATGACGCCCAGCGCTGAAGACTACAGCTAACGCTACTAGTGCCCAGCGCTGAAGACTACTGCTAACGCTGCTACTACTCCTGCAGCGCTCCTCCAGAGTGCTGCTGCCAAATCCTGAAGGCTACCTCCTGCCTCGTGAACTGCACGTGAAGTGCCTGGGAAGTACCTAGGAACTACCTACCTGCCTGTAGGGCAGGCCAGTCCTATATAGTGCTGGCCCGTCCAGGAGGCTGCTCTTGCCAATGCCGAAACGTGCCAGACCCTGGTGTTGAAGCTCAACCAGGGGTTGTCTTGAAAACAGGCCCGAAATGGCCTGTGCTAAAACCCTGGTTTGTTGCCTGAGTGTCAGGGCAGGTCGAACTGATGAGGGCCCGGAAATGGCCCTCAGTTTCAGGCTAAAAATACTCAGGGCCGGAAAGGCCCTGATTTAGCCTGAAACGACACAGGGCCTGTAGGCCCTTGTTTTCAGGCTTTTGGCCTGAAAACGTCACGGGCCTGGGAATGGCCCGTGCAGCCTGTTGCAGGCGCAGCATGTAACATCTTCTGACAAAGTGTGCACGCATTCAGGAGGATATTCTTGGCATGACTTGTTCCCGTAATACCCCATGTCGTTTGAATGTTATGATCCTGGCTATCTTAAAGACTTTAAAGTGCAATAAATTAAAGAAAGACAATGGCGTTCAATTGGAACTTAAATGAAACCCCATGTTCATTTATGGGTAGGCGACTACAACTCCAGCCTCCTCCACAAAATCACGTGCCAGGCATGGATCCAAATATTCGGGCATACAACTGACATTGTCCAGGCCATTTCAGTGATCTTACCTTTGTGAATAACTCATGGACCCTACGAGACAATGGCGGTAGGGTGCACACAGTGGGAAATATCAACTCTTTCTGTCGCCAAGCAGTAGAACATCACTCGGTCTGGCTCGTCCATCAGGAACAGTATGTCAACGAGCACTCACAAGCACTACTGCCTCCGGAGAGCAATCCGGCTGAACCTCCTTCCCCTGTGCATGGTCAGGCAGTGTCCTCTCCATGTGTGGATTGGACGGATTCTACCACGAACAGTGAAGGGACCTCTCCAGGGAATGGTGGCTGTGCCCTCCTCCCATTGTGTCGTCGCACAGGTACAATTCGGTTAGCATGGACACGGCACAGCCTCTGCTCCGAACACTATGAAGGGATGGTTGCTGCCAGCCTCCGCCACGAACACTGTGATCCCCCTCCCCCCCTGATTACTTGCCCAGCATGCCGTTGTGGCCTTGATCTGCCATGCTTAAATAATTGCGCACGACAGCCTTCTTTGCTGATGACATGTCAGCAACATGCCATGTGTCATCAATGTTTCACAGGAAGCTGTCATAGAAAGTATGTGTCTCTACGTCTCTACTGCGTGGACTATCCCCGGTGCCATCGTCCGCCACATTCTCTCCTAGCATGTCCCACATGCAGTGTTGGTCATACACCTACTGCAACCGCAGACGGAATTCCTTCTTCCTTGCCTGACGAATGACAGAAACAGCAGCCTGAGGAGGAAAATAGACTACCGTATGAACCACCTACAGAGCGCTGTACTTATAGGTTATCGCCACCAGGGCGAGCTGTTGCAGACCAAATTCTGCAGCAGCTAAACACCCTTGCTTTGAATCATTCTCCCCTGTTGTCGTCTACCCATAGAGAAGCAATAAATACTGAGGAAACCCAGGAAACCTGCTCCATGCCGCTTTTGTGATGCCCGCCAGAGATTCAGCTAGCGTGTGGTTTGCATGCCCTATGCCGTGAGGATTATGAAGGGATAGCCCAGACGAGCTTTTGTCTTCATACATTGCACTCATGTACAGCACCCTGACGTGTCATGTCCAGTTTGTAGACGGGCTGGAATGGCAATGCCTCTACAATTGCGGTCGACGTGCCTCTGTGTTCCTATCATGTAAGAGCCATGTGGCCTGTAACATCTGTCTACACCGTGCCATTCCATGCAGTAACTGCGACTGCGAGAATTGGATGCGGTGCTTCCACAGGCCACACCCAAACCGGTTCTGCCCGGTCTGTAGAGGTGGCCACTTACCGTAGGCACTTACCATAGGCAACGACTGCTCCTCAGATCTTATGCAACACATACACTGACTGGCCTCATGTGCCATTCCAGAGTGGTCTGCCCCAGCGGTCACTATTTAGAACCCTGTCAGAACTCCACCTCCCATTTCCTTCCTCCCTCCTCTTGTGTATTACTAGTAATACATATGAATGAGCATCATTAAGAGAACAGACAAGATATAAGTTGAAGATCTGAGAAGAAATGAACAGGAACATACCTCCACCTTTGCTCTGCCTCCTTTCATAGTGTGGAAGTGGGCCGTTATGGCATGAGGGGATGTGGGCAGCTCGCACTCAACCACAATCAACGTGGCGAGCCTTGTGCATGAGAGGCCTGGTAACGGGGGAGCTGCAAGAACAAATGAAAGGGGTACCCCAAAGAAAGCAAACGTGGACACAATTAAGAAAGGGGTTAACATGGGCTTAGGGTTTTAGCACCAAATACATGATAAGACCAGAACCCCAATAGAATAGGCTAACTTAGGCAGGGGTGAAGGAAGGTACATCCTTCCCACGGGAACTAATCAATATCGTCCTTCGGGAGTCTATCCTACTCTTTATGGTAATGCCTGCTCTTACAGGTGGGTTTGGAAGCTGATTTGTTCCTATTTTAATTGGAGCGCCTGATATGGCCTTTCCACGATTAAACAATATCAGTTTTTGGTTACTACCACCATCATTATTACTTCTTCTAAGTTCTGCTTTAGTGGAAGTAGGTGGTACATAATTATTATGAGGCTATGAGATTAGAAATTGATCCTTATGACCGAAGTTATATACTCTACAACATAGTTAACTTCTATTCATCTTGTTATCTGCCTTGGAGAGGATCCAAACCTCCATACTTCATAGTACAAAATTTTGAGTCTTGCGTGTATACCGTTCGACCACCAAGGCCCTATTTGAATTAAAGTGAGTATATCATTAATTGAAGAATATGCATTTATGTATATTGTCTGTCTAGGCTCACCAGAGTTCAGATGCAAGAAGCGAATAACGGGAGTTGTACCCATATTTCCAAATTCACAATCTGACACTTTGACCTATTAACTAGTATCAAGTTATATTCGCCGTGGTCCCGACTCGCTGGAACGGACAAAGTGTTTTAGTCTGTCATGTTTACCATTTTCACCAAGCGAGTATGCTCACTATCGGACTTGAACCGATAACCCGTAGGAACAGATTTTAAGTCTGTCGTGTTTACCATTTTCACACAC